TGGGGACATATTCTTTATTAGTGACTGATACATATAGGAGTGCCACACCTATTGTGGGTGCTCTGACTCCTGGGAGGACGTGGATTGTATAAGAGAGCAGGGTAACAAAGCCATGAGAAGACCCCCTCCAGACTCCTGCCTTGAGTTCCTGATTAGTCTTCCATTAATGATGAACTGAAATCTGGAAACCAAATATTCTTTTCTCTCTATGTTATTTTAATCATGCTGTTTTGTTGATGCAACAGAGAGCAAACTAGAACAGAGTCCCAAGAAGAGGGGTATAGTCAGGGTTCTAGGTCATGATACTTCCGAAATTCTGGCCCCAGTGATCTTTTTCCAGCCAGCCCTCGCCTTCTAATGTCTTCCAGTACCTTCCCCAATGACACCACTGTCTGGGTACCAAACCTCCAACATATGACCTGGGAGATCCTATTTCTTTGTTTCTTTCTTCTTTTGTCTTTTCAAGACAGGGTTTCACAGTATCCCTGGATGTCCTGGAACTCACTCTGTAGACCAGGCTGACCTCAAACTCATCACCTGTCTCTGCCTCCCAAGTGCTGGGATTAAAAGTGTGCACCATCACTGCCTGTCAAGACCCTGTTTCTTATTCAAATCATACCAATGCCCCAGGGCACTGGTGTTAACAGAGAATGAAACTTCAAGGCATCAATTAATGCAAAGTTATGAGGTCACAAGCTTCTTCGATGGAATATGGGACAGTTTTCATGAGACCCTTTTGGTTCTGACTGTGAGACAGAAAAGGGCCATCCAGGTGCTGGCCATTCTCTGGCTTCCTGTCTTGTGTGTAGTCTTTCCCTTTGGTACTTGCTTTTTACCACCTGCCACCCGGTGAGTCAGCCAGATGTTGTGTCTCCAAATCTTTGGGCTGTTGTTTGAATTCACTTATGTTGACACAGTGATGAATGACTAGTGACCATTCAGAGAGAATCAGCCACAGCTTCTGCCCTGTGCTGAGGGCTCGAGCCAACAGATATTTGCTAGTTGCCTCTTTCCCAAGGAACAGGGTACAGGATAGGACATGAGAGATTCCAAGATTCAGCTTAATGTAGGATGTCTGCCCACATATACCAGTCAAAACATAGGCCCTGGAGACTATTTTAGTTCTAGTTCAGGCCCAGGGACTTGAGCATGAATACAGACAAGTTTGGTTTCTTGGCCCCCATCTGTAAATTGTGACCCTGGTGGACTGATTTTCGAAGGATTCTTACACTAAACAAGCTTACAGCGCTGTCTGAGTGCACTTGTATGTTCTAGCTATTTATATTACTTAGTTCAGGAGGCAGCTTTTATGTTGGGAAACTGCATTAATTATTAATAATGTTCCTTTTAAAAAACATAATTTGGTCCAGTTGTATAAACCATATGCTTAGAGAATGGAGTTGGCAGGCAGGGGAGAGGGGGAGATTGGAAATCTTGGAGGAAGTAAAAATATAAAAATGGATTTCCCTTCCCTTTGATGATCAGATAAATGGAAAGGTTCATTGAAATACATCACTCTCCATGGAAATGGAAAGTGGAAGCTGTCTTGGCCCAGTATATCCAAGAGAGTGGTCACTCCCACCTCAGTGATGCTCAGGGAAGTGAGGATGCCTTAGGAATGGTAGGAAGAACCATGAATGAATTTTCTCCCTGATCCTAGCCCAGACACCTGTGAGAACTGTGATTGCAGAGTGGGAGGTGTTCTTCTGGAACTCTACAAAGGAGCTATTTCCTTGACCCTCATGTTAGGTGTTAGACCTTTGGCTGCCTGACAACCCTGTTTTAGGTGTCCAGGTAATTGCAATCATTTTTATTCCTTATTTTCAATGTTACTGAGGCAAAATGCTTGACAAAAGCCATTTAGGGAAGAAGGTGTGGTGGTTTGAATGTAATTTGCCCTCATACTATCATGGGGCGTGGCACTACTAGGAGGTGTGGCTTTGTTAGGGTGGGTGTGGTCTTGTTGGAGGAAGTGTGTCACTGTTGGGGAGGGCTTTGAGGTTTCCTGTGTTCAGGAGACCACTCAGTGTTTCAGTTGACTTCCTGTTCCCTGTAAGTCAAGATGTAGCCAGCACCATGTCTGCCTGCATGCCGCCATGCTCTCTACCATGATGATAATGGACTGAACCTCTGAAACTGTAAGTGAGCCACCCCCATTGAATGTTTCCCTTATAAGAGTTGCCATGGTCATTGTATCTCTTCACAGCAATAGAACCCCTAAGACAGAAGGGTTATGGGACCTTTGGCTTACGATCCTAGGATAAATTCTGTCACAGAGGCAGAAGCATAAGGCAGCTGGCCACACTGCATCCACAGTCAGGGAGTGGAGAAGTGGTTGTCGGTGCTTAGCTCACTTGCTCCATTTCATTTAGTCCCAAGTCCTAGCCTACTGAATGATGCTGCCCACTCAATTATTCTAATGGAAATAATCTCTCTCAGGTATACTCAAAGGTTTGTCCCCATAATGATTTAAAGCCCTGTCATGTTGACAATTAAAATCAGCATCACAAAGGTCTAGCTCATGGCTGGCATAGTGGGCCACCTGATAGTCTGTCTTACATTAGGCTTTGGGAGGGACACCTCATACCCAAACCATATCTTGGTGGGGGATGCTGAGAGATGGAGCATCACCCTGGGCTTGGGCTCTGACCCAGTTTCATTGGAACATGACTAAAAGGAAGTCACTTGAGTGCATATAGCCTAAGCTTCTTTCTATGGAAGGTAAGGGTGATGGCACTTTGCTAGTCACAGTCTTGTTGCTGTGTCAATGTGCCAGAGAAACAACTGGAAGGCGGCAGAATCTATCTGGGCTCCTGGGTTCAGAGGTTTCAGCCCAAGGTTGGCTCTTTTGTTGTTGGGGCCTGTGGTGAAGCCAAGAGTCCTGCTGGGGAAGGTGTGCAGTTGAGACCATTCATCTGCTGGGGAGGGTGTGCAGTTGAGACCATTCATCCACGGTAGCTAGCAAGGCAATCTTCAAGGAGAAACTGAAAGTGGACAGAGCAGGGATACCTCTTCATGAAGAAAGCCCTGTGTGTCTCTTCCTGGAGTTGCCAGACCACACTAATGTAAAAGAGCCCCAGTGTGATGAGAGAATACCTGTGGTGTGTTCCAGGGAAAGGGCTTCCAGGCTCTGCCTAGCTGAGGGGACAGTAGGGTCAGAGCAGTCTGGGCAAGGGCAGCAGGGATGTAGGTCCCATGGTAAGTGGCCCCCGCATCTTCAGATGACACATGGGCACCCAAGGGGCCTAGAGTGAGAAGAAGGGGGGCAGGGTGGGGCTGGGAATTTGTGTCCATGTAGGTAATAGAATAGATTTTGATCTTCATCTTGGAACAAAAAGGATGTTTAGAGGGAAGTAACAATAATTGTATCTGTTTGAAAACATTATCCTGGACAGACGGTTTAAAAGACATGGGAGCTGGTGTTCCAGAGGGTAGTTCTGAGTGGGCATGTTACAGCCTAGGTATTCTATCCACCAGTGACTACCAGAGAGAGACCTGTGGTGGGAGGGACTGTGTCTCATTGGAATCCAGACGAGAATAGACTCGATTCTTAGGACTGCAGAAAAATGTAAAATCTCATCAATAATATATCAACTTCGTGTTGAAATGATGGCTTGGGGGTGCATGTAGGCTTCAGTACATTTTAAATCAACTTCTCAGTTTCTTTACATTGAAAATAAGTAGCTACATGACAGTTGAAGTTGCATATGTGATTGGTGTTTGTGGCTTTGCTTACAGTAAGAAGACCCAGGATTCACCCCTGGGAAAAGACAGCAGCTAGACCCATCAAAACCCTAGGCTCAGCCAGCACCTTACTTCCTGTCACTGTCAAGTGCCTAATGGGGAAGACAGAAATGGAAGTCACCGAGCAAGATGTGTTTGTGAGATAAGGGGGTGGCACAGCATCCAACACTACTCCTTCCCTGTTCACTATACCTGCTTTAAATCTCTACCTAGGCTGGGGGCGGGGTTGGGACAGGAGGTAGCAGGCTGTTTCATAGTAACTTCTTCAAGTCTCAAACACTGGTGTCTGAAACTCTGCCCTTAGCACCCTGCGAGATGGGGAAGGAGTGAGTAGGTTAGGAGCTGCACTATCCTGAAATGTTCATAGGTCCCGGCCTCAGTTTCCCCGCCTGTCACATGACTGAGTGGTGAAATGAGCGTAAGCCACCTCCCCCTCCCACGGTCTGCGATGGTGGCCGCATGACCCCAACTGGTGAAGCTCCTTACAGCTGAACACCTAGTGCAGGGTGGGCGGTCCCTGGTGAAGACATCCACTTCCACTCCGGTCCAAACAGAGCCACAAGAAAAAGAATCACTTGGCGCTGGACGCGTTTCCTACCTATCATTGGTAAATATGAGAATGAAAGGCCCTCTTGGTTTGACAGGGGCAAATCAGGCTCTCATGCACGAGTTGTGTCCCTTTCTTTCGGGCGGGCGCCCCTGGCCGGGCCCGGTGCTAGCTGAGTCTGTGCCGCAGCGGCGCCAGGGTCCCACGCTCCGCAGCCTGGCTGGGCGATGCCGGCGTTTCCGCCGCCGTCAGGCACGCGGGGCTGCAGGGTCGCCGGGTTCGGACTCGGCCCGAACGCTCCCGCTTTGTTCCCAGCGCCCAAAGGCGACCCCCCTTGCCCTCCCGCGTCCCGGGGCCTCGCTGCAGTGGGAACCCGGCGCTCGCAGCGCCCTGCGCCCAGGCTGGTGGGGTGGCCGCGCCGAGCTGCCCCCGCGCCTCCCGTGAGCCCGCGAGTCCGCCCTGCGCGGCCCGCGCCGCAGTACGAGCCTCCTCCCTCCCGCCCCCCGCGCCGCCGCCGCCGCAGGAGAGGGGGGGCCCGGGCGGGCGGGCGGGCGCGGCGAGGGCGCGCGGCGAGCCCAGAGCCGGTGCGGGGCGCGGGCGAGCGAGCTCCGGCCGCGGCTGGAGGCGCCACCCCGGGGCTCGGGTTGGGCGCGCACCGGCTTCTCTCTCCTCGCCCTCCGCGCCCCGCGCCCGCTCTCCGGGCGCCGCAGCCTTGGCCGCCGCGGGCCAGCGGCTCGTACTCCGCGCTGCTGAAGGAACGGGCTCTTCCCGGGAGGGAGTCGCTGCCGGCGGATCGCAGAGTGCGAGGGCCCGGGAGGCGGGGACCGAGCGCCGCGACCCGCCATGGCTCAGGCGGCCAAACAGCTGAAGAAAATCAAAGACATCGAGGCGCAGGCCCTTCAGGAGCAGAAGGAGAAGGAGGAATCCAACAGGAAGCGGCGGAACCGCTCCCGTGACCGCAAGAAGAAGGTAAGGGGGCGGCGGCGGCCCCGCACCGAGGCGCCTGGAGTAGCTGTGGGAAGACGCTCGCTCGCTCGCTCGCTCGCTCGCTAGCTTGGCCGCGCTGGAGCTGACCCTCCCGGAGCGCCATGGGGGTGGCGGGCAGGGCACGCGCCCGGGGCCCCGGGGCTGGGACGCGCTGGCCGGGAGAGTCCTTTCAGTACCTTGAACAGGGGCCGGCAGGCCCGCGCGCTCAGGAGGAACTTTTGCCGCCTCCGGGGTGACGGAGCGGGTAAGGGGCTGCACCGCAGCCTTTTGGCGCTGGCTTTCTTGGGGAGCTGCTTTGGGTGAAGGCGGCAGGCGCTCTAGAGGTGCCACTGCCCGCTCCTGCTCAGGTGACCAGTTGGTTCTCCTGCGCCGCCCGGGGAGAGCATCTTCCCCGGATCTCTCAGGACACCGGGGCGACCGCCCTTCCTGGGCCCTTCCTGTCCCTGTGGGTCCGCGGGTGAACCTGGAAGATGCCACTCACCCCTGGGCATTTGGCAGCATTCTATGTTAAGGTCATTCCAGAGAAGTCGCTGGTGGCAGGGAGGAGGAATTCCCTGAGAAGCCTGGCTGGGGCTGTCCAGCCGGACCCAAGGCCTGGTCGGAGAAGGGCTCTGCCATGGGTCAGTATCGGGCAGTCCTTCATGGGACAGGGATCTGTGCTGAACACCACAGGGATCCAGACCCCTGAAAGCAACTGTTGCTATTTGCAGTCCTTGCTTTCAGACCAAGGCATACTAAGGACCACCTCAGACTAGACTCACTGTCTAATTACAAACATCTGGAGATCCACAGCAACCAAGCAGCTGACTTCCGCCAGCTAGAGCTGCAGGAATGTACAGGCTAGGAGAGCATGGATGGAATTCGGGGAGTCCAAGGTAGAGCATCAGAGAGCCATTTTAACCTGGAGAAGTTGGTGTGGGGCCTGCAGGAACATCTCACACCTCCTGCCTGAGAATGGGGTTCTTGGGTCTTCCCACAGAGGCGCTGCCCTTGTTTGAGAAAGGCTTCCTCCCAGAAATCGTCTCGGTTCTGAGAAGGATATATGGGAGCTGCAGTTGACAGCAGTGTAGGGGACAGGCTTTTCTTTGCAGTAGGTGGCAGGACCGATATTGGCTCTTTTCCTGGAGATGACATTGGGCAGGCTGAGATGTTCTCTGATTTTAACACAAGGAATCATCATGTTAGGTGTTCCATACCCCTGAAAAATACAACAGTGCCCCCATCCCTTCATCCCTGTCCTGATATTGGCAGTTTGTGCATAAATAGGACATACTTCTTAAGCAAGAGTGGAGGAGGTCTTCCCCAAACTAGCAAGTCAGAGTTTGAGCTGGTGCCCCTTAGAGGGCATATCCCATCAGGTCCCCAGTAGGGTCTCAAATGCCAGTCCTGTAAGTTAGCAGGGAAGTCTACTTCAGAGTACCTGGTACTCACCACTTACTTGGTGATGGTGTCAGCCCTCTGCATTTCTATTTCCGTTCTTGATCTTGTGTCAAGGCAATCATCTCCGAAGCCCACTCTATGTTCTTGCCTTGAGCCTTCCTCTTTCATGTCCCCAATACCAGAGATAACATTTTGACTAACAATCAAAACACAACTCCCCTTTCTTTGATTTCATTTCTTTATCATTTACAAAACTCTCTTTGACTGCATGCAATGCACCTATGTATACAGGGTGATTCCAATATTCGTTTTTCTTTTTTAATCTTAATCTTTGCATTCTTAGCAAACCATATTCCATATTTTGGTGCTAGACAATAATAGATTCCCTTCTCAAATTGCGTTGTTTTGACTTACTAGCTGGTCACAGCATACTGCGTCAGTAGGTGTCCCAAAATCTTCCATACAGATTTTCATGGTTTTCTGCAGTGTCTCGAGAGCTATGATTGGTACAACATCTAGGAACTTTTAATCAGAAACAATAGTGATGATGTGAACTCTCAGGTTATTTTCTTTATGGGGGGGATGCGTTATGAGGGTATGCAGGATGCTTTACTTGTATGTCCAGTGATTGAGCTCTTTAAAACAGTAAGATAATCTGGACACTCAGAGAAGATAATATAGCTAAAACCTACAGTAAACTATGAAATTACAGGGAGATGGGAGGCCCCAGAAGAAAAAGTGAGGGGCGACCTGGGAAGGGGTGTTTATTCATTTGTTTGTTTTCATTTAATTTGTGAAGGGGGATGCTGGGTATCAGATCCACAGCATTGTGCATACTGAGCAGGTGCTCTACCACAGAGCTATACCACTAACCCCAAAAAGATATTTTAGAGAACGTTCCTCTTAGGTCTGTGTTAAGCAGTGGGCTGAGCACTGACTTAAAGGTTCATATAAGGTGAAATCTAAATCCAGTGTTTACCAGAGAAAGGATGTTTTAAGACATAGCATATTAAAATCAAGCAACAGAGGGCCATCCAAATGATCTTACAGACAACCTGAGGCTCTGGAGCCATTTCCTATGTCTTCTATGAGTGTAGAAAAAGAACTTCCTACATACCAACGAATACATTACTACAGAAACATGGCAATTTATGGCAATGGGAACCTGAGCCAAGGACATCTGAATTTACTAGAAGGAAAGGTGTCTGTCTCACGGGTAATTGCTTAACTGGGGCTGACTGAGCAGAGCCACATCCCTCTCGTTTGTAGAAATAATAGCGGTTGTAACCTGAACAGTGGTTGCAGCCTTTGCAGTTATGATACTGTGTGGGAAGGTGCTTGCTAAGGGTGGTGCTGTGCATCAGGGATGGAGGCTGATGTGACTGACACACATAGAAACCTCAGCTCTGGAACTGGAGCTCAACTTGGGAGCTCGGTGCTTCATTCAGTTTTCTGGTTAAGAAGCAATGGCCTCACCAAGCCCTTGCCGGGTCTAGCTGCAGCTTATTTTATTTTACTGTTTAAAGAGCAAAACACAGCATTCATGACATTTACTGTTAAGTTCCCTTATTTCTGAAGGCTATAGTGGGAAGGATTAAACTGTAAGGCCTGTGCAAAGCATGCATTTGCATTAGAAAGGACAGTTTTCCAGGGCTGAGGAAGCTATGAGAATGAGAATTTGTGTGCCTTTGATGTTTATCCAGAGCTTGAAGCTAGGAAGGAAAAAGGATGTGGAGGGTGGAAAGATAGTGAGGCAGAGGACTGAGGAGGGGCAGAATTCAAGGAAGCAGCAGTGGGTGTCTAGGTGGGAGACAGATCCTCTTTCGGGTCCAAGCCCGTGAGTTCTCTGGGGGTAGTGTTAACTGGGCTCTTTCCTTGGCCTTTCTTCTGTACACCTGCTTCATCTCTGATGCTAATGCAGGACAAGCTTTTATCATGTTCTGTGTTTGACAGGGTACTCACCACCTAGCTCAGTACTTCACACACAAGGGCATGCAATGGGTGTTTGTAGAATTAATGGTTTGATGAGTGAATTATGCTTGTTTCTGCTGGCCTAGGCATTGTCTTGGCAGCAGCATGTGTTCAGGTGAAAACTACTGACTTTGGCTATCTTTGGGGGATATTGGAAGGGAGCCCGATGCATCTTTTCCAAGTCATTTGCATAGCAATAGCAGCCCCAGCCAGGCAGGGGCACTACCTGATCTTCGGGTACAGCATTTGCTGAAGAGAATGGAGTTTTTCCTTCCAGGGTGTCTGCTGTACTCCATGTCAAGTGGTTTTAACTGTTTGCAACAACAGTTTCTTAACAGGGCCTCAAGGAGCCAAAGCCTTGTGAGTAGACAATGGAAAGGAGCAGGTAGAGAAAAACAACAAACAAACAAACAAACAAAAGCCCAGGAGTGGGAAGGACCCTGCCCTGACTTGCAGGTACAGAAGAGCTCTTAGCTATCCTCCTGTGCCCTGCTTCTGGGCAGTGAAGATGGTAGGGAGTGTACATGCTTAAGTGTGGGTAGTTGGTGGGCTATAGTGGGGCAGAATTGAGGACTGCAAGCTAGGCAGGCATTATATGTGTTGCAAAGAGCTTCAAGTTGAAACTTCTGTTATCTCCAAATGGGTTTTCAAACTCAACCCAAGAGCTAAGTTGTAAAATTTAGATAATAGTGTTGCTTATGTCTTCAAACCTTGGCCCTGTGGTTAGGTCAGTTTACTAGTGCATGCTGTAGTATGATTGGTATTTGTGTGTACAGTCCCTATTTCGTTTTTGAACTGTATAACTTTTGTACTGCATGTGATTAAAAGCATCCATTTGTTAATAATTGAAATACTTTAAAGCATATTAACACTCTGGTAACCCTGTTTTGACATTTGATTGTGGTACATGGAGAACCTCGAAAAAGGAAATAGTCCTTTTTGCCCAGTGGCTGAAGATGGTTTTCCTAGCTTGTTTCATGCCCCTTTGCCAGCCTAGCTCTTATTTCCTGATGCATGGTATTCCTTCATCCCCCAGTCATAAGCTAGAGCACATTAGATTCAGTGATACTATAGCCTGGGTGTACACTATCGCCTCTGTGTTCTGTAGGTCATTCACTCCTCATAGCTACTTGATTAAAGCAAATGAAGCAGAGGCTGAAATTCAGCCTAGATAGTGGATCTTTGTCTTCCTCATCACAAATAGCAAAGGCTATTTGCTTACTAGTTTTGCTTTGATCTTCTCATTGTGACATGATGCTAAATTTAAAGTCATTTATTTTGTTTTAGCCAACAGGCAAGGGTTGTGCACGTTAGAGGCTGTAGTAACACAGGCTTATACGAGATAGCTACTGTACTTTGGGTCAGAAATGCTCTCAAGGTCCACGTGTTGAAGATGCGCTTTAGTCATGTGATGGGACATTTTCATAGTAGACCCTAGTAGGACGTCTTCAAGTCCTGGGGAATGTAGCTTAGAAGTGCACTATGGGAACTTAGCCTATTCCTCTCTCTTGTGCAACAGTGGTAAAAGTGGGTGCTTTGGCTATCATGTTCTGGTCTCACCACAGGCTTCAGAGCAACAGGACCAAGTGTTCACAGAATGACACCTCTGAAACCGTGAGTCAATAGGCCCT